TAAATCATATTAATGATGTCACTGAAGATATTGTTGCAAGTGAAACTAGAAGAATAACAAAAATCAGCTATTTTCATGATAGTTGTACGGAGTTTATTTTAATTGATATTTTCAAGACTAAGGCGAACTCTTTTCTAATAAATTTACTGTATAATATTGAATATACATATTTTGATTTTCAACTTCTGTGAATTCTTAACTGAGACACAAGTAATACTGCATTGTAATAATTCTTTTTCAAAGCAAATGGGCCAGCAGAAAATAAAACAATAATCAGTTATCAATTTACATCAATGCTAAATAGTCAAATAGAACATCTCGACTATAAGGTAAATATATTCATTGATCAATATACGTTGATACTTGAAGAAAATATAAAAAAGGAGATTTAACATAGTTAATTGGCACTTTGTTTCATCAAGAAGATTACGATCAATTAGTTTTATGTTCTCAATAGGTTTTTTTTTCTTGATGATTATTACCGTTCGTTCAATTTTGAAGAGACAAAATCAATATTTGATAGTTTTGAACAAATACTAGATCTTCAACAAATACCTATTGAAAATACATGTAATTGAACTAAAAAAATGATTTCAATTACAAGGTGAATTACTTGCGCAAGTGATCACTTCTCAGATTGGATGCAGCAGTTTTATCAATAATCTTAAGTGTCATTTTGATGGAATATTAATTGAATATCAATAGGATGAGTATCCATCAATAACTAATTTTGTAGATATTCGTGAGAGATTAAGTCAAGGGAAGAAAGCGTATTTCTGTATTTCCGTATTTCCAGGTATTTCTGAAATACAGAAATAATTAGAAATACGCTTTTCCCCCCTTGGTACTGACACATAAATAACGTGTAGAGTAATGTTTAATAGACGAAAAGAATCGCTTTGCTAGTCCTTGACAAAATTAATAATTATATTTTGTAGTCCTCTCATAATATTGATCATACGACGTCCGCTACAATCGTTGTCATATTCCTGTTGGAGTTCCGCTTGTTGTATTTTCATTCACCTGTTTTAAAAAGAAGCCAAATTCGTCTCTTTCTAATCTTTCTCATTGTTATTTGCATATACCAAACGTTTGAATTATCTGTTCTTATTCCAGATAGTGACAATCACCACAGTAGTGAGTTAATATGCAATATTGAAGCACGCGAAAAACTGCGAAAATGGAAATTTCAAATGTTGCACAAATGATAGTGAATGTTTATCGACAGAAAAATGCTGCACTCATCCGTGCAACTGTTGGACAAGATGTACGAATGTTCAATAATTCGCTGTCTCAGTCATGGAGCATACAGACGTGCTTAATAGATTTATTCTTAAAATAAAGCTAACCTATACACACAAATGAATAACAAACATGAAATGCCTGATTCGAGTTGAAATCATCCACGATAAAAAGATTCTCTTTCGATTATCACTGGGAGCAATGTAATTAATTTGAGCGTAACTCTAGTCGACATTTTCTTGTTTGTTGTAGAAGAAGAACGATGATCAGAAACTTGACAAAAAGAAACAACCATGAGATCGTTACAGAATAGTTTTCAGTTATGGCAGCGAAAATTTGCTTTCTGATTATTGTTTTTTGAATGGTGTAGCATTTTTTTAAAACATAGCTAAGAACCAAGTTCAATAAAGACCTAATATCTTGTGAAAGAAACTTCAATTATAACTTGGATTTCCTAAGAAAAATGACAATCATCGAAGGAAATTTTAGCAGTAGTTGCGTTTCAATCGATATTTTCAAAACCATTATTGTGCTCGACCGAACTCAGCTTTCACGAATGAACCATACAAGTCCTTTTGTGCACAGATGATCAAATTGAGAGATTGACCTATTGGTTCAGTAAAAGAGTCATAAAACAATTCTTCTTTTGTTTATTGCATTATACATTCGTTGTCATCTGATCTGTCTCCTTTGATGAAGGAGAACCTTCTTGGTTGAAATTCAGAAGCACTAATGCTGATGAAACAATTCTCTTTTCATCGAATCGATTGATCTACCGATATAAAGCATTAATGTTTGAAATGCAATAGAGTCGATGACAATCATATCAAAATCTTATTCGTAACAAAAGATAATCAATGTTGCAAAGATTTCAAAGCTCAACTATTGTCGTAGTTGCCGATGGAACTAGAGAGGACTGGGTTCCGTAACATATCTATTCAGTCAGCAAGCGAAATCATATTAACAGCTTCAAAGTAGATCTTTCAGTATAGAATGCATAAAATCTTTTCATACAGCATGCTCATAGTCATAAAATAACTTCTGTTTTGTTTTAGCATCGAATTCTACATATGATCAGTTTTATTCGAGGCACCGCTGAAAACTTCCGATGAATTTATTGTTTTTTATCAACTTTGTTCGGCAATCTCATGGAATCGGATCGATATCATCAGGTACAATATTTGATAGGATATATTATGACATTAGAAATCAAGAAAAGCAGTCTAAATTGTAGGTATGAACAGTTATATTTTGTCTTTGTTGTTGAAACGATCTATGACATAATTTTGCTTCGATTTGTACATCTTGATATAGTTTGTCGATGTAGTTGTGAAGATGTAGGTTGTGGCTACTAGTGAAGAGAAAACAAACCAAAACACTCAGACCATGACTAACAATCATACATGCACCCTCAACCTGTGAGTTTGTTAATAAGTCATAGACTCGAAAACAGCCTTCACGTAGATATTGCCCACTTTAAAGATCCTTACTAAAGCAATAGTGTGATTTTGTGGACTCACGCAAACACCGAGGCTCATATTCGAACAGTAACAAAAAGTGATCATATCTGCAATGTTAAAAACCGATAGCACCACGAATCACTATTCTTGTTCCTAATCATTTCTACTTTCTTTTTTTTGTTGAAAAATCTATCAAGACTCTTGTATAGGTTCAATATAAGATTCTAGTGTGATATCCAGGATCTTGGAAATCAGACAAGAACCCAGCAGACAAAATCTTGAAGTTCTTGCGAACCAAGTTTCATTCTTTTTCATTGCAAAATGGACAAATGCTTGAATAATCTAAGCCAGATTCTTGTGTTATTTTTTAATCTTATCATGCGAAAATCGTATGAACATAACCGATCTTTAGCTAACATATCATGAGTCGTGAGTAAAGTGAAAAATAAAAGACACTCATAATTTTTTTCAATAGACGTGGCCTTACAAGAACCGTTGCAGCATTGAAAACACTATCTGATAAGACCAACCTGACGTGAAAGTGTAGTCGTTATGGAAACTAATCTAACAGATTTCTCACCATTTTGGCGATCATGTCGTTCATGAGGAACTAAGGGTAGTATTTTGGGTCTTTATTAGTCTAGAAATTATTGAATGAATTTGAGAATAATACCAATCGATTCGCCATTAAATTATGCATCAAATCATATATGAATATTAAAAAAGTTTAAGAATGAGCCGACTTACAGTCTTATAGGCCTCTCCTTCTTTTTTTTCATATAAAATGAAAATTGCTCTTCCGTCAAATTCAATATATGTCAATTAAGTTCGGATCATGGTTACATATTTCGTGGGGTAATCGAGCATCTAAAATCGAAAGAGCACTTTGCAATCGGTTATCCGTAATTCTAATGTTATTAAAATAATATTTTATGCAATTTCGCAAGGCAATAATTGTCGTTTGTCAAGTCATCGCTGTTAGAAAACGCATTTTCGCTATTTTCATGCTAGAACACTGAATGTGATAATTTAGCCGGATAAAAGAGAATCGACTTAAAAATTATTAGTTCTTACATAATTTATATGGAAGATAGGCACTTTTGCTGACCTGAGCTGAATTAAAAATTGAAATTGAAAAGTACGTTTCATGAAACAGAGCAATACTGTACAAGATACCATCCAACTTCTATTAAAGTTATGGTTTTCTCAACGTTCTTTTCTTGCTTTGAATAGATTTGATCGTTTCATGATAGTAGTCCTGAAATACAAAAATAAATAATATCATGCATAAGTATCGCAACTAATCACAATAAATTGAAAGCTTGTATTTAACTGGTTGTCTTTAGTGACGTTGAAGAAGGGTGAGACCTACCACATCAAATATATACCAGTGGTTCGACGTATATGAGCATAAAAAGCAAGCCGAAAACACGATTATAATTTACATATTCCTCTTTTATGCTTAATGTTTCATAATAGGCACTTCTCCGAAGGAGGAATAATAAATTATTTATAAATATTAAGGTAACTGCCTTATTTTCATTCGCCCAATTTGAAAATAAGCAAAATGCGCCTCTTTCTAATCCTTCTTGCTGTTGTCTGCATATACCGAACATATGCATTATCTGGTGTTATTCCAGATAGTGACAATCAAAGTGGTAAGTTGATTATTTCTCACTGGTAAATGCGTCTGTTTACTTAGTAGGTGAGTGTCCTGCTTATAAACCATTTCAATGCTTGCTTAGATGCGATAATGAAGCACACGAACAACTCTGCGAAAATGGAAATTTTAAATGTTGCACCAGTGATAGTGAATGTTTATCGACAGAAAAATGCTGCGCTCATCCGTGTGACTGTTGGAAAAGGTGTACGAATGTCCAATAATCCGGTTTCTCAGCCATGGAACATACAGACGTGCTCAATACATATTCTCTTAAAATAAAGCTAACCTATATACAAATGAATAATTAACATGAAATGTCTAATTCGAGTTGAAATAATCTACGTTCAAAAAAAATTCTTTTTCGACTATCAGTGGGAGCAATGCGATTAATTTTGCCTGTAACTTTAATCGACATTTGCTTGTTCATTGTAGAAGAAGAACGATAATCAGGAATAGATTTCTATCTAGTTCGAATCAATGGTTGTTTATATGGTGAAATTAATTGAAATCTTTTATCAATTCAAAATTTTACAGGCTTCATTTTGTACTAGTAGTTTATTGATTCAAGGCATTCAGATACGCAACATATGATGTATTCCGAAAGCGGTCGGGTGTGGGCGTGAGTCTTTCTTCATTCACATCCACATGCAATACCCTGAAAATGGTTTCTCAATTCGATGAAAAAATGCATGTTCAAAAGGTTGTTCTTCAAATAAGGAGACTGTACGAAGACATTTAAATAATCCACCTGAAAAATTATTTATTTATATTATCATAATGTTTCAATGCATATAGATATGAATAGATATAGCATTGATTTTTTTCTACCTTTCGAAAATAGTCAACAGAAAAAATAATTTGACTATAAAAACGGCTGAATGAGCATATATTAAATGCAAATTTGTTCAATCGTGACATATGATTAATAATATTTTTCTTCAAATTATTACCATCAACAAATGTTTCCTTGACCTAAACTCGTAGAAGAGACAAATTAAGTTGTTTTAAATTCGACATTCGATGCAAAAGTAGTGTAATTAGCTCATCACAAATATCGATATCCGTATTACAATACTGCGAAAAGGATCGTAGATTGGGCAATTTTTTCTAGAAAAGAGAACAAATATAACTTTATTTGAATGAACTAAATACTAATCAAAATAGTCAACATAATTATAGATTGTTAGATACGAAGAAAAAATGAAATGAATATTATAATGAAGGATACGGAGTTGATTGAATCGCCTATTAAATAAATAAAGACAATTGGTAAAATCTGTCAAATAAACATGTAATCGAAACAATGATTAACTATTTAATTGACGTAATTCCATGTAATGATCAAACTTGTATGAACCTACATTATCAACTAGCTCATTCCAATTATCTTGTACCTTAACAATTTGCCAACANCACCCACACCCACACCCACACCCACACCCACACCCACACCCCCACCCCCACCCACCCCCCCCCCCACACCCACACCCACACCCACACCCACACCCACACCCACACCCACACCCACACCCACACCCTGTTTGTTTAAGTAAATCTTTCCATTGCTTATTTATTAATACAATAGATTTTTTTTCATCGTCAGAATCACTTTGTTTTAATTGTTCAATATTATAGGAGATTAATTCAATATCATTTAATAAAACACGAAGTTTAGCTATGTAAATTTCAATTTGTTTCATATCATTCAGATTTGTATCAGAAGTATTATTCATTAAAACAGATGATTTTGATGAAAAATTATCTAATGATCTTGTTATATCAGTAATTACATCACCAACACGATTTTGACGAAGAGCTGTTCCATAAACAAGAGTTTCACTGAAAAGAAAATAAAGAACATTTTAGAAATGAACTATCAGTCACAGTTTTAAGACTGAAATTCAGTCAATTTTTCTATTTTAATCTGAATGGTAATGGTCGAGTTTTTGATACTATTCGCCGCCGTTATCGTAAAAGTGTTTGAATGAAGGAAAATCTGGTTATGACTATATATTCATCATACGATCACCAGCTTCGCTAGTTATCGTCACTGTTGCATGTTTATTCTCGCGACTACAAACTCGACATCTGTTCAAATTCTAGTGTAATAAATATAAAACTCTGAGAGTTCAATACGCAACCATTGTTTATTTCCTAGAGTTAAAACCAAGCAAGAAAAAATGGATCCAGGAGACTGATATTCTGGTGGACTTCAACGGATTCAAATGGGCTATAATGAATTTTAGTAGATTGTGGTAAGTTCTGATGGCTTTTGATACCATCCGATGAGTTCATTCTAAGATCGATTACGATTCGCTTTTTCCTTCTTGGTTAAAACATGTTTCTTGGAAAAGTTGTAGAACATTTAGATTTGTTAGTACGTCAGTTTTTTAGAGTGAAGAGTTTTAAGTATGTTACGTTGTAAAACGCTCTAAAATATTTCCTTGAATAAACTCCTGATTATGAGTATAACTGTTCTGCTATCAAGAAATGGAATAGTTCGATTTCAACTAACTGATCTGTTCGAACGGTTTTTCGATAGGAAACGATCTATTCATTGAATAGAATTTTATATGAATGAGATTCGTGTTCCTGTTGTTGATTCAAAAAAACAGAAACCTGCATTGAAAGAGAAAGTTTTCAACGAAATCAACTATGAAACGCGATAGGTCATTTAATATTGAATAAGAATTTAATCACGATCATTATTCCATCACTTTTGGACGAATGAAGGAATTCAAATCCCTCGCTACCTACTTCAACATTCATTAGCCATCATATATCGTAAAGAAATCTCGAATATGACTTACTATTTTTGTATTTTCTCATTTAAATGTGTACATTTTGAATCAATATTACTTAATTGTTCTTCAACAATATTTGTTTTTTCATTTTCTTCTATATCATGTTGATCTTGTTGTATTGTTCCATCAATTTGTTGTTGTTTATGTTGTTAAATATCATGTTTTAATCCAACTATATAAAGATATTTAGGGTGTGGGTGTGGGTAGCAACACAGCATCTACACCTCGCACCCTTGCCCCCACCGACACCCCATACCCCCCACCCCCACACACCCACACCCCGACTAGGTGGCGATCTTCACCCAATACAGCCCCTTCCCCGTTATCCATCAACACGGGTGATGCATCACCACCTAGAAAATCGTCAATTGGTTCAATAACATTAATTTCATCATGCTAAAGCAAAGAAGCAATTATGAATGATTTTAATCAAAACCGCTCCGCGGTGATATCTATCAAGATTTCATTTTACTCACTTGAATTTGTTCATCCGGAATGAATTTTTTATTTGGTGACATGTGAAAATAAACGATATTATTAGTATAATATTATCACATATGTTCAAATTGAAACATGTGAAGTAGAAATAAAATAATGAATGACAATAACCACAGTCATACACAAAGAGACAATGTAAAGACAAGTATCCATACAGATAAGTTCAATTATTGACCAATGTTGATTACAATAAAAAAATTTCGTTAAAAACTAAAACATTGGTATCTGATATGAAAAATTTGATTTTCTAAGAAAGACTATGATTTTATTTTGCTTTATATATTAAGCTGAGGTAACGACATCTGCGTCGATATTTTATAAAAGCATCAGATTAAAGAAATGAAAGTTCGATTTGATTCGATTGCTATCTCCCATACGAATCATAAATGAATCAAAAGAAAGAAATGACAATTCTGCATTTTGTTGCATTCAGTACTATACAAAATAAAAACAGTGTTTAAATAGCGGTGAGACATTGATATATCGAATTGAGCTTTAATAAATCCGTTCGGACGTCTTAGTTGTTTAAAAAAGTTAGAACTTATGTTTTTGTAAACCATTCAGTAGACTAACAGAATGGGAGAGATATAAGTTTTGAGATGATTTTTGATCAGTGAATACTTGTGCAAATAGTAAACTAAATGAAATGATTGAATATACCAATTATTTTTGAACATTTTATTTTTGAAGCATTCTAGACACATGTATCAATTTTACTTTAGTATTCATCTAATCTTCGAAGTCATACATCAACCAGAAATAATCTCTGTCACTTCAAATAAGAATGACTTAAAAAACACATATTCATTTCAACTTTATTTACACAAAAAAAAAATCTATATACANTAACTTTTGATTTTATCGATCCAGCTAAAATTCATAGACATTATACATTCGCCTCAATAGAGAATGAAGGAGTATACAATAGCCCCAAAATGGGGTAAATGTATAACGGCCTAGTAGGTCTCGGTAAAACAGCTGTAGATTTGGTATCCGACAAGATATCTGAGATTAGAAAACGACAAACGAAAGAAAAATGTTTTGGCTACATCTTTTGTGAAGAAATTTTTTTTCTATCGCCAATATCAACGGAGATATTAAGTGTGCAAGTGAAAAATTTGAAAAAGTCTATACATTCGCCCCGCTAGGCTCTATGTTTTGCATCTTAATAGTCCATGTTATTGTGATTTAGATAATGAATAAAAAAAACAATTAAGTTGAATTAAAATTTTCTTAATAAAATTTTATTTTTCTGTCGAAAACAAAACAAAACTAATAATTAAAACAGAAAAAAATAAATACATAAAAAAAACTCTTTCGAATATAACATGAAAAAAAAACAAAAGTTAGTGTTATGATTGAACTTCAATAATACATGTGGGTATATCGATTACTGGTTTTTTTTCTTTATCTTTACTTTGAAGATCTTTTTTTTTGTTTTTTTTTTGAATTTGAATGACGATCTTAAAAGTTTCTTTTTGAACTTTTTCAATCGTTTTCTTCGACCACTGTTTTAATTTTTGATGATAGTTGTTGGTTCAAATACTGAAGAAGAAAAAATTGACTCAGATTGCGATCCTTGTTTTTTTTCTATACGTTTATCATTTTCACATGAATGACGATGACAGTGACTAAAATACAAAAAAAAAAAATACTTTACAATGAATAAATCCGATTTTTTCTAAAGTCGAATGTGAAGATTTATACATATGAACAATTGTAAATTGTGTAGATTATTGAATAGTAGGAGAAGAACGAAGTGAACGACGTCAATCTTGTTCACGAAACGATCGAGGTTGAGATCTATTTAAAAATTTGATTACAAAAAAAAAGATTCTTTTTGTTTTAATTTAATTTTATTTTCGATATTTTAATGAATACTTTTCTTTGATTTCAATGGATCGTCAACGATTATGATAGGACGATGAATATCGTTGTGGACAATTATCTCGGGTTGAAGATTTTATTGTTGATGACTTTGAGGTCAACTACGAGATGAATGATGACAACGACGATTATAACATGAACGTGATGGACTACGAGAATTACTACAACAAAAAAAAAAACCTACGTTTTCACGAAAAAGAAACCTTAGATTGATTGATCTGCTTGACTAAGATGAAGAATGTGAACGACGACGAACAGATAATTTTTAACTAAAATTCAAAATCGATCTCATATAATGAAAAAAAAAAACTAATTCTTACATTCGTTCAAAATAACGTTGTTTTATATAAAATTCATTTTTTGAAGGAGATGTTGATATTGATTGTGTAGCTGTTTGATGATATGCAATAAATGTTGATGTTGATGTAAATGGTGCAGTTATATGAAGATGAAAACTGGATATATTATTTCATTTGTTGAAATATGAAGATTTGGAAGAATTGGATGAAGTGATGTATTGATAGAGCTGAAGAGTATGTTGGATAATGATGTTTACTATCAAGAGGATAACGAATCCTATTGAACATGGATAATGATTTCTAAGAATGAATAGTTCATTTTTCTTTTTTTTGTTTTGATTATTTAATAAACTTACGGTTGAATTTAATAAAGATCATTTAATGTTATTAGAGAAATATGATATCTGAATTTGCTATTGGTTTTCTATCATCTCCAGATTGATGATAATGATGCCTGTAGAAAATAAAAATGTAAATGAAACAATTGCTTTTTTTTTTAATAATAATTCAAATTTTTATGGAATAGAAGAACTATACACATATTCCTGTAAGAGTAACTTATTATATGTTTATTATAAATCTACATGTGATATAGAAAAAAAAGATGAATGTAAAAATATATTGTTTATAATCAGATAAATTTTTAATAACGAAATCAAGTGAAAAATGAAGCATAATACAATTAATATCAAATGTAAATAGTTTGTTTACAACAATGAGGACATGTTAATGATTTAATTGAATCTTTTGATTGTTTTGCTCTATTCAATAATACGAATAAAAAACAATATTTTCTAATACAAAAAAAATTCAACTTACATAGCACAAGCTTCACTTTCTTTTTTTGATTCATCATCAATCATATGTTTAGGTGGATGAATACTAGCCAATTGAACCATATCATCGAATGATAGAATTGTTGCTTCATTTATTATTGATGATATTACATTTATAACTGATGATATTACTTTATCACTTGTTTCATCCGTATGTTTAGCATTAATATCAGCTGCACTTGGATCAACTAAATTGGAATTATCTTTTGAAAATTTAATCAAATCTGTTTCATTGATATATTTTATTAACTTGTCGATAATTTCAATTTCATTTAATGTTTGTGAATATTTTTTCTTCATTTCAAGACTAGCTTTTTCATCAAGATTATCATCGCCTGCTCGTGTCTTAAACTGATATAAACGTAAATGTGATTGTGCATGATTTGACATTATCATTAGTTTTTGTTTCTAAATGATAAATATATTATTTTACTTTAAAATCATGTTCATAACAATTTGTCTTACGTCATTAATTGATTCTCGTAAAAGTTCGAGGAAACTTGCACGAGACATCGTTGACTAGATAATAGATATCGATGTGAAAAACACCATATATATATATATTACACGTAGCGAACGTAGAAATTATTTTACGAGAGAGATACTAGACCAAGGAAACAAAAAGAGATTGCGAGTATATCCATATGTGTGAAATAGAAAGAACGAATATGTCTATCCCAGTGAAATAGAGAGAGAACGAATACGACTGTGTGTATGAAAGAGAGACAAATGATCCGATTGAATTTCCTTCACTAACTGATGAAACCATTTCTACTAATTCATATGGATCAAATGCTCGACAAGATTCTCTTACTAATAAATTTATTTTAATTTGATTAATAAAATAATTACCTATTTTTATATTTTCTGTAGATAATTCAGCATTTATATAAAAATTGGGATTAATTTCTCTTATCATAATCCATCACTTCTTATACTAACCATAATTATATTAAATGACATCTATCAAGATGGTAATGATGAAATGTTGTTCAATCAACCGAGCATTTTCTTTCGAATATGAATACGATACTAAACCATCTTCACGTTTCGAACTATAACAAAGTTTAATTATATCAGTCCATTGAATTAAATCTCGACGTAAATAAATATCTTGTTCTTAAAAAAAACAAGGAATTATAAATAAAATTATCGAAATAAATGAGTTTAGAGATTAACAATATTTTAAAAACGAACTTTTTTTTAAACATTGCAATTTATTGTGCCATAATAATGTTCACAAGTTACAAATAGATAATTAAGGATTAGTGAAAGTAATGTATTAAACGCGTTATATGTGTTTCTGTACTAAGAGTTATCTCTATATGCGCATACATTTCAGTTTTTCGTATGAATATGATGGTGTGACTTAGTGGCTGATGATACCATTTAAAAGAAGCAAAGAATATAACATAGACAAACACAATTTAGAATATAATTATATAGAATGTCCAATATTCAGAATAAGGAAGAAAAAAAAAAGATACAATACAATACCAATGTCTTATAGGAACACAACCACATAACGATATTTACCATAATTAATTAAAGACTAATTACTCATGGAGGAAGCCAGAAATATTTGTATATAAATTTATTCACATAAAATGTTGAATGTTTGAAATACTCATGTTGTTCGATGTGCATGGTTCGAAATTTAAAAAAAGAAATGAACTTTAGATTTGAATTGTAATATAAATATAATAAAAGATCTTTTATAAGTCATTGACTTTATTAGCAAAATTTTACTAGAATTTTTAATAAAATTCTGACCTAAGGCAAAGTATTTGATAGTACATAGTTCATAAAAAATCTTTTTCGTTTTTTTTCTCCAAAGAAAACCTTCACCCTTTTTTGACCACATTTCTAGGGAAGTATTTTTGTTATTAAGTATAAATAAAAAAAAACGATAAAATCTTCATCAGTATAATTTCTGAGTGGATTATCATTTATAACTCAACTATTGTGTGTCATAACATAAGTTTGATATTGAATATTATTTTAAATTAATTGATTAATACGATCAGAACATTAAAATTCTCCATTTGGATAATAAAAATAATTTCCAACAAATGGTGTTAAAGATAAAGATAATTATTTATATTTCGGTCCATCATATGCAAAAAAAAATGTTAACGACATGATGGAAGACAATTATCAATAGTTTTATTTTAAATTTTCATTTAATTTTTCAGATATTAAATTATTTCAAAATTTGTAAACGATTTCTTAATGCATCACATGCTGCATTTATCAATTTTTCTTTTGTTTTGAAATTTTCTTTTGAAAGAAGAAATTTTTTCAGTTAATTCAAGATTAATACTACTTTTCATTCTTTCATATTTTTCATGTTCAATATTAATATCATTATCATTTTCAAAGAAAGATTTCTCTAGACAATTATTTTCTTTTTGATAATTGTTAATAAAATTTTTGAATAATTGAATCCATATCATAAATATAAAATCCTTCAAAACCATATTTTGAAATTAATTCATCAAGTAAATAATATCTAATTAATTGTAAATGATGTCCTTTAATTTCTGATATAATTCTTTTTGATAAAAGTTTATTTTCATTTGCATCTTGAGTAAACTGTATTAAAATTGAATCAAGAAGAACAACAGATTTGAAATATGAAGAATTAATTAAATTATTAGCAGCTTCAGGATGATCTCGAAATAATCCATAATAATTAGTTGCATAATTATAAACAAGATCAGCTATTAATAAGACTTTCCATTACTTTAGACATTTTTTCAATACTTGTTTTCATTGGATGTGGGTGTGGGTGTGAATTTCAATACTCTTGGCATCTTTGCACACATATCCACACCCCACACCCACACCCGCGATTTAGATCATGCTAGAAGCTGATAGACAGAAATTGACAAGTTCGGTATTAGTTCAGATCTAAGGTACAATTGAAAACGTTCTCTGATCTTAACTGATCTATTCGAACAGTTTAGTTCAGTTCCTACGAAGTGTTCAGATAATTATTTTGGCAGGAACTGTTCGATTTCAACAACTCAGTTTCTAACACGAGAACTATTCGAATTGATACAGTTCGTTTTTACGAACTGATTTTTTCAAACAGTTCTTTTGCACATTTGAGTTGGTGCTTAAGTTGTGAGTTGTGCTCGATTCCTAGTGATAGACAATAACAAGATCACATCATTCGAGTATTTGTCAAGGAGAAAACAGTAGACTTCAAGGTCGAAGCCTCTGCAGTTTCTTATTTTAGTATTTGTTTTTACTATATTGGAAGGCATTCTTAAAAAAACGTCAGGAAAAAGAGAAGGATCAACGAAAATTGAACATGAGGGAGAAAGGATTCAACAAATACAAACGTTTGTTAAGATTTTTATCAGTTTTCTTAACGAATTTTCGGCAACGTTCCATAGGAATTCTATAGTATTTCATTAAAATACTACTGCGCAATACGAAAAAAAGCAACTAACTCATGTTCTATATTGGAAGATCCACCAAACGAATAATTTCATAGCAATTTTGTGTTTTCCACAGCAAATATGACCGAAACTTTGGCAAAGTTTGATAGATCATAATAGAAGACCAAAGGTCTTCTAATGCAAGGAGCGATATACATTTGAACAAGTGAATGGTTGATTATCAGATACAGATAACAATATTAGGATAAATTGAAATATCAAAAGGACTAATATATTGGTTGTTGGTAGAAGTTTATACAAAATTATTTTATCTTATTGATGAAAATGTAGATAAATAGTATTGTCTAGAATTGTTATTGATGCCACTAAAGAAATTTTGTTTGTCGTTAAGTAAAACAAAATACATGTAGCACAAATCTCAGATAATTTCCAGCTATTACCTAGGACAACAAGAATAGAAACGAAAACATGTTTTTCAATAATATTACAGTGATTCATCTAGTGAAAATATTTTCCGAATTAGTTAATTGAAATATGATAATTAAAGCACTTTAAAAATCGAATAATGATGAAAATGGATTACAAAGTAATTCAAAAGAATTGAACTTCTGTTTATATTTTTGATATAATCTACCAAGGAAGAAAGAGTACAGACATTCTCGAGTAAAATCTTGAAGTTTGTGATTTGTCCTTTACTACACATACTGAAAAATGAGTGCCACAAAAACATTGATAGATTCTTCTGCACTTTCATTGATCATCATTATCTGATAGATAAATCATGTTAAGTTCGAATTATTTTGTAATTGATTTTCGTCATAAATTAAAACGCTAACTTCCTTTACAAAATTCAATGACCAATGCTTTAACCCTTCGTTATTGTCATGTAGTTCAAGTGGACCCACTTCACAGTTTTTGTGTAATATTACATTAAGATTTCTTATTTTGGACTGGTCTTCTTCTCTAATCTCTAGTCTTGTGTTGATGCATAATATGCTTATCAGAAATCGTGAATAGGTTGAAAAGATAACAACGCAGCTATGAATCCACAACAACAACGGTGTTACAAGTATCATCTTTCGTCTTGCTGAAGCTGCCATCTGTTGTCTTTTAAAGAGAAAAATGTCTTCCCTTTTTATCTGTAGACGATAACATATATATCAACGTATGCGCATATCTCTACTATTCCAGACTAAAATGCTTCAATCTATGAGTTTTGTTTTTAGTTATCTTTAATGCTCGTATGGAAACAGTTGGGGTGTGGGTGTAGAACTTCTCTTCACCCGCACCCACAGCCGCACACCACACCCTCTTTTCCGATATTTTAAAACTAGAAATACGGTTCGGAATAAAATGTTTCGTATTTAATCGTAAATATGACTATTCGTTTCATATAATTTCTTGTTAATACACGTTTGAACCACTTCGCATCACATTTCAAAGTGAAATGAAACTCAAATATCATCTAACTATCCTTGTGTTCTTTGTTACTGTATAGAATAAAAGGAAAAATATTTAGTTTTCTCTATGTATTTTCTTTTATTGAAACAATTTATAACAAAGGAAAATATTGATGAAAATTTTTTGGACGAACAAATGATTCACATACATCAAGACTTTTCAATTTATCAAAATTAAATTGCGTTGTATCATTAGTAAAATTGTTTGTTATTGTTATGAGTGATTTATATTCAATGGAAAGATTTGACAAACAAGGTAAACGTATATTTTTCTTCAAAAGAAATAATTTAGTATAATCAACATGTGCCCATTTTAGATCAAGAAATTTGAGATAAGGAAATGTAATTAGTGTTGATGAATGTTGATTGTCTTTTTGTGAATAATCATTAGATATATATAAAAATTCAAGAAAAGGAAAGTTTTGAGAGGTGAGCTTAAATAACTTATTTTCAAAAGGAATTACATCATTCATTTTCAATTGTCGAACTTTATGAAACATACCACCTTGAAAAGAATTGTCGAGATTAACAAAATATTCGAAGTCATATGGAAGTGAATAGATATGACATTTGCCATTGGAAGAAAACGTTTTAGAATGAATATATGATGCTACTTGTTGATATCCTCTTCCAATAAAACTACGTTGAATATCTTCATTCGATTGAAGTTTAAGTCTAACGGTCCTAAAGGAAACTATTGTTGTAATATAAAAAGTAAACTTCTTTAATTGTGTCATATAAATAAGAAATTGTTCATATAATTGAGTACCATCAATGTAAGTCGAATCAGATCTTACTACTGATAAATATAATTTTAATTGTTCAAGATTTATCATTCGACAAAGTAATGGAACAATTAAATCGTCATAATCCGTTGTGTAATTACATGCAGTAAAAGAAAAATATTTCAATTTGGGAAGTTTTTTCTATAAAGAAAATAAAATTAAGAATATTTATTTATTCAAATGTTTTTTTTTGTTCTCTAAAATAATACTTACTGTTGGATTTATGTATTCTAATGGACAAAAAGTAGATGATACATTAATAATTAATGTTGATAAACAAACAAGAGGACCATCAAGTAGATAAAGACAATCAACTAAAGTTGAGACATTGATTTTTAATTTAATTAAATTTGAAGGTATACAATTTTCCCAGAGTAAATAAAAAAGAGGAGGGAAATAATTTCGTGTAGGAAACATATGACAAAAATTCAAAACAATTAAGTTTTTACATAAAGATAAGATTAATGTAAAAATTTTTGAACCAATTTCCGAGCAATGTTCTATTGTCTCTTTAATATCAATATTAAGATGTGTTATTTGTTTGGTAAGATCACGAAGAATTAAATTACCTTTAATTTAAAAAACAATAATTATTAATTTATATTTTTGAATTCTAATAAACAAAATTAAATACTATACCTGTTAAATATTGATAAAGTATTTCTTCTTGAAAATTTATAAGTGATAATGAATATAATTGAGGATAATTCGAAACAGTAAGAATTCGATTTATTGAATATTCTTCAACAGTAAGTTTATATATTTGATCATGAATTCTAGGTAAAATTTTTTCACAAATTCTTGAAAGAACTTTAGGATCTATTAAAGAAGTCTGATCGTACAATGAAGTGGTATCGATAATAGTAGTCATATTAAGATCATGAATATAAAAAGAATCAAATACTAATCGATTAAATCGTCGATTAACATCCATAAATGAATGAAAAACATCAATCATATTGAGTTTTTGAAAAATAATAAATAAAATTTCATTGGGTAAATCAAGTATATTGATATGATTGTTATTTAAATTGTGCATGTTTAACTCATCAATGTACTCATATCAATCTATATATATGTACTTCTCATTGCCGTCTGTAAAAACAATAAAGAACAAATACCGATGTCGTCATATTGTTCTATGATGAACGTAAGAAACAGACTAGACTAATTCAAAGCGAACGAATCAATAGAGTTTGTAAACGGTGATTGTGTTTCTCAATTCACTCTGAATTAGTTCAATCTGTTTGACTACCGAATAGATGATGATATTTTTCATTCTGTCTAATATTTTTCGTTAGAATTTCTTAACGATCTATCGGTGTCAGCTTATTATCAAAGAAAATATTTCTTATGTAGCATGGTCCTTATAATACATATTTTTGTGTTTAGAATAAAACAAAATAATGATTCATTGCAATTTTTTATCACTCGGTGAATACATTTAATACAAAATAAAATATATTAATTAAACATTAGAAGTCCAACTCATAAATTATCAAAGATCTCATTGAATAAACATTCAATCACTGATTTTATTTAGTTAAACTGAAAAAAAATCAATATTATAAACATAGACTGTAATTGATTTGGTCAAAATCCAGAGATTTGATGAAGCCAAAATTAAAAATGTCTCGATCAATGCAAAAAGTGCATAATAGTTATATGTTCTATTACTTTTAAATGAATTCTCTTATGAGGAAACTACCCTAACTGATTCCGAGCTTTTGACTTCATATTTTGGTTATAGGTAGGCCTCAGTGAGACTAAGAAAACCCTTGAAGTGTTCGTATTTATGAGCTGCTAGTCCAAAGTTATAGTCGTTTTCGGTCAACGGCAGGGTATCCACAGCAAAGTCAAATGAAGGTATTTTGATTTGATATTCTGTCTATAAACAATTCTGATGATTCCTAATATGTATCAAAACGGATGCTTCCTTCTTCAAATATTCAATTTTTTGAAAAGATGTCCGCTTGTAACAGACAGGTCACAATAATGAAGCTGTCCTGCAAATTGAATATTTGAAGAAGGAAGCATCCGTTTTGGTATGTACATGTTAGGAATCATTAGAACTGTTTATGGGCAGAATATCGAATTGAAATATCTTCATTTGACTTTGCTGTAGATACCCTGCCGTTGACCGAAAACGACTATAACTTTGGACTAGCAGCTCATAAATACGAACGCTTCAAGGGTTTTCTTAGTCTCGTCGTGATCAGATAATTAATAAAAAGATGAAATATTTTTATATTATTTGACTCGATACAATTAAAAATGGAATCAAGTTAAAGATATTACTTTTGTGTTCGAATATTTTGGAATAATATTGTTTCATTAAAAACTATAAGATTGAATGTTTGATTCCAAGAAAAATAGTTTATAACTGAAACGAAAAACCAATTTGGTATCGTATATATCAAGTGCAATTATTGAAAATGTTTTTGAAATTCAGATCTAATACGATCAGAAATTTGAGTTAAATTGAAAAGATAAAAGATATATTTAAAATGAATAAACGTTCTTTTCATATTTCTTCAAAGAATTGTGAAAGAACGATTTTTCATTGTAACTATAACTTTCCAGCATTATACAATGTTGTATGAAATCATTCTATTAGTTCTTTCTTATGATTTAGTAGGTTTGTCTTATAGAACGATGGAAAGAAGGTTGTATATACACTTAATATTCAATTGAATAACAGAAAAGAATGATAATGTTCTTCCTTTTTTCTGTGTAATCTTGTGAGAATATTACTATTATTAAGAAGTAAATTCATAAATTGTTTAATATTAATATCAAATTATTAGTAATTAATTCTGTTTGCTCATTTAAAAATTCATTTGCTCTGTAAATGAATAGTATAGTACCAGTAATCTCAGCCAAAACTTGTAATGGAAAAAAACTTAAATAATTATTATGGTGAAAAACTGTTACAAATAATCCCTAAAAATACCTGCTGCATTAGGCATTAAAATGATTAATTTAATGAAGAGAAAATAATTCAATTTCAACATAAAATAATGTATACAGGAGTGTGGGTGTTGTTCTATTCTTCGACAAGACACACGTCCACACTCAGCCATTTCCGATTACAGAGCGAGAGACATCTTGTGGCGTAAGAAGATCTGCATTAGAATCAAGAAATAGCTATTAAATGTGTATAGGCAACAGTCAGCGACATGTTTTTTTCCTTCAAACACAAAGGTTTCGTCAACGTGTGGCATAATCATGCAAACGATTGTGAATACTGGGTGCCATATCAAAAAATAATATTGGATTGCCCAGTTAGCTAATCATTGAAAACGCAACGCCTTCCGAAAACTCATCGTGCTTCACAGACGCTGACATAAAAATCGATAATGTGCAAGCTAGTGATCCTGTCGTCCATCAAAGCCAGCAAAACAAGCAAAAGATTACAGTCATGTAAATGCGCACGTTCTGACTACCAAAAGACACGGAGCATTGAAGAACAGATGATGGTTCGCCACAATTCTTCCAATTTTCTCACTGAGAAATCATCAATGTCATGTCGACATAACACTTTCAGAGATATGCGAATTACACTCAGAAAGATACTAACGATATAGTACATGATGACTTATGAATATCCATAGAGTAGCCCATGAACAGTACAGAAGAAACGCTCAGGCTTATGAGCGTGAGCTGCACACTCCTAATCAGAGACCAGTTTTGATTATATGATGGTGATTACATATTATCTGGGTTAGAAAAGTCTTAGCATTTTTCTTATCTATGCGATCAAACTTAAATAAAAATATGATATTCGTGATCAGCGTGACGAGCTCTATCAGATTACATATGAAAGACACAAATTAAAGATAAAAAATTTTTTTCGATGACAGTGAGGGTATCGATAGGATAGAAGAATGCCAATGATACAGCACAAATACATTTTTTCCTTTCGAAGTTTTCTTTTTTGAAATTTTCATTTTCGATGTCTTCCACCAAGTCCACCAAACATATACACACATATCACGCCAATCAATACATAAACGTAAATAGGTATGGTAGATGACACTTTTCTAAATGTCATGATGTTATCTGTATTTGACATTGATTGAATATTCCTGTCATACTTCAAATCATTCTGAGCTTCTTGAGTCTTTGTCTTCAATTCCATTAGAATACTTCGCAAATTGTCTAGATGAAAATATTCAGCTTCATCGATGAGACTACGTAGAAGTGTCTCATTATTTATCAGTTCATATGGAATCATATCGGTACGCAAATATTCAAGAATATAAGTGAAGAGTTTGCCATTCCGATCAATAAAGATACTTTTGTCGACTGGATCACGTTCGGGTTTCCATTGGTCTGAGAAAAGAGAGCGTTTCAACTCGTCACGTGACGAGTTGAACAAATTACAAAAATCACACCTTTCGTAACACCAAAAATAGGCATATTCAAAAATGCAGGGATGTCGTAACGAAATTTACAGGGCGATCGTAACGATTAATACAGGGAGATCGTAACGGTTGCAGAGCTTTCGCAACGAAGCAACAGGGTTTTCGTAATGAAATATATGTTAGTCGTACGTCATTTACGAATAGAAATTACATGGGTTTCGTAACGAATTGTACAGGGCTTTCGTAACGGCTAAAATAAACTTTCTCAAGTTATATTTCAAAGGAGATGTAGGCTGTCAAATCAGGGCTGTCGTAACGAATTTTACAGGGAAGACGTAACTGTTCATACAGGGTTGTCGTACCGGAAAAGCAGAGTGCATGTGAGTTAGATGTACAGGGGTATCGTAATGAAATATCAGGGCTGTCGTAACCAATCGTCTGGTCTCGAAATAAGAAGAAAAGACTTGTTGAAGATTAAGATTTTCAACTTATTTTGCTTACTTTATTTAATAAAGCAATGGTAGAAAACAAGTAACATAGAAGATAATCTTTTTTGACTAGTGCACAGGCAATGAGACATTTATTGAATAAGTTATTGAAACAAGAAAAAAAAATGAACACTATTTAATATGTTCTTCAAAAACAAAATACACATTTATCTATATGAACACAGAACAGAACAAATAGTACCATCTAATCTGAACAGCTTCTCCTACAATACAGACTAACAAATACAAAATGATCAACATTCTTCATGTTTCACTTTCGTCGTCTTGTTTTGATTTTTTTCTTTGGTTGTGCATCATCATGAACTGTGGGTGTTGTTGATTCACTGGTATATACTACAGTCATCTCACACAAAATAATTGATATAAACATTCTTTCTGCAAAAAAAGCTTGATTTGTTTGGTTACGATAGCTCTGATTTTTTGTTACGAAAGCCCTGTAACTATAACTATCCACACGATACTTTTACAGTGCGATAGCCTTGTAATAACGGTTACGATAGCCCTGTACTTTTCGTTACGACAGCCCTGTATTGTCACTCGTACTTCTTCAGTTAAGTGTAGTACGAAAGCCCTGTATAAGGGGTTACGATAACCTTGAAAAATTCTTTACGAAAGGTCTGTAATTGATGGCATTATTTTCTAAAATAGCACATATCAAACCACTAGTTACGATCACCCTGTAAAATTCGTTACGAAACCCATGAAATTTTGTTACGAAAGGTCTGATTCTGCCGTTACGAAAGCTCTGTTACGGGCTTTCGTACTGTCAATTCGTTACGAAAGCCAGAAAACAACTATCGTGACGAGTTGAAACGCTCCCGGAGAAAAGTGCTGTAAAGAAAGTGTTCTTTTCACGTGTCAATGTTTCGACACTTGTCGTATATTTAACACTCCCAACATTGAGTATAACCATTCCTTTGCGTGATGTTTTTTCAAGTTTGTCCTTAATGTCTTTGCGTTTTTTTTCTTCATCTGATATATTGTTCGATTTGTCCTGTAGATTTGTCATCATTTCATGGCCATGTTGCTCAGCCAATCTGCTTTGCTTATTGCGTTCGTGGGACTCTTTATATATGTGACTT